GCCATCGCTTCGAGTCTGTGAAGAAGATCCAACGGCTCGAATCCGCCCAAACCTGTCAATCAGCGCTCTCTGCGACGCAGGCCCCGCCTTCCTGCTCTTGACTTCGACGCAACCCAGATCTTCTGCGGTGAATCTTGTCGGATCCGCGCCTACTACCGCTCCCTCTTTTCCGAACTCAGGTTGACCGACACGACGCTGGACAACTTGAGTCGCACATGCTCTGCGGCACTCGTTGGTGGTCCGCATTTTACATGCACCTTTGGTGAGCCCTCCTCGTCATTCGCTCTGGACATACAGACAAGAGTTTATGTCAAAGCAGGTCCTGCTGCGTGAGACTCCTGCGGAGAGCGCTCTCGTCTTCGCAGAAGCGGCGTCATGAGTATTTGGAACGAAAGTAGCGTTCGGACGCAGTCGCAGCCGTCGTCGCAGCAGGTACTGCAACGAGTGTTATAAGACCTGAGTCGGCTCGCTTGTTCTGTGAGGTTCAACCCTCCACTTCAGCCATATGTGCGATCCAAGTTCACCTTCATTAGTCGACTCAGTCAACTCTCCGGATCCGCCGCAACCTGAATTTCCGGCCGCGGTCCCTTCTCCCGATGGGATCTGGGACTGTGCCGACGATCCCCTCCATAGCTGCGTCCTCTATGGGATGTCGAACTCTGAGTTCGACGCAGCGTGGAGACGCCTTGCAAGTGGTGACCCACTAGCGGTGTTGACCTCTACCATGCACGAATTATCCGACCTGGATCCCGTCCTCCACGGTTCAGCGCGTCGGGCTTCCTCTACCGGCATAGACTTCGCACCTCCTATGGCGCCAATCCCGACCATGCTGGACATCGGCTCGCCCTCGGATCCCCGTTCTCATTCCTTGCCACATGCTGCGCCCTCTGCTGCCAGTCTAGACGTCTCAGGATATTCTCCTGTCTCATCCTCCTCCTCCGGAACCGTTGTTCCGTTTGATGTGTCTTCCAAGCACACCGTGTTCAGTCCTGGCCCCTCTTCTTCATCCGTTGGGGCGGCTGACCCGCCCAGCTTCTTTGGGCCGCACTCCCCAGTGACACCTCGCGTCTCGTTCATCCTGGACCCCGGTGTCCACGTCTCGTCTTTTGGCTACCATTCACCGACTGCCTTCGATGTGTATGGAGTATACAAGACCCTGCCAGTGTATACTGAGGCTCCTGACGCTTCTGCGCATACACTGGAGGGGACACGACACCGTAGCCTCACAGCGCCTTCAACCACCTTCTATGCTCACGTTGAGGCCAATGCAACGAATACATCGCCTGTTGATGTCACTACGCCACGAGGTACCTCACGCAGGCCACAACGCAAGAAGCTCCGCCCCGCGGGGCCGTCTGCAATGAATACACTCAAGCAATTCAACTGCCCCGAGTGTGGAGGTACGCCGTGGGTCGTCTATGTGGCACTGTAACGTCTGCTCAATGGCACTGTACATTGTAGTTGTTTTCAGGAGTCGCATCAGCAACCTGAACAAGCATATGAAGGAACAGCACGATCCCGACTTCAAGCGTGCCAAGTGCCCGCACTCAGGGTGCACATCCTCGTACCTGCGTCCTAGTGACCTCAAGATCCATATTCGAGACCACCACTAATTGCCTGATACTGAGGAACTCAGGCGACACGACCACCGGTATGTAATCCCTTCCCTCCTCGACGCTCCTTTGTCTACACCTGGCTTCAATGTTTGCCGGCTGTCACTCATGCTCTCGTCACAGTGAACCCCTCCAATTGGATCTGTCGCCGCCCCCTGGGCGGCGTACGTGCCTGTTGCTCGGCATGTCCGGACTGCAGGCCCCTACGCCCTTTGTGACCTCGACGGTTCCGTTGGAGGTGTGCGCACAGCGGTGCTTATGGCGCCCCCGACGTATGCCTGGCATTCTCGACGCACGCGCACCTCCCCGGACTCCATCGCTCGACAGAGATCACGCGGCCTCTCTGCCTTCGCTTCCATCGACGTCCCCGCAAGGATCAAGACTCACGGTACCGAGCTCTCGACCCAGCCAGGAGGACGATGGAGACGAGGACAGAGAGACTGCGTGCTGCCTCTCGGGCGGCGGTGCCCGGGGAGATGCCCGTGCGCAGAGGGTGCTGAGTGTGCGTTGGGCGCGCCGTACCCACCGCTGTGCGTGTGCGCGGTCCAGCCGCTTAGCTCCTCGGTATTCACCTCACTCGTTCTCTCGTTCTCTCGCTGTCTCTCGCTGTCTCTCGCTATCTACCGCTATCTACCGCTGTCTACCGCTCTCTCCCTCTTGCTTTCAGCTCTACAACACCGCCAGCGCCCGGTGCGCACAAACCGCTCACTCTCCTCCGAGTGACCTGCTCTCACTCTCCACTCACACCGTCTCGGTCCTGATACCGCGACTTCTATACATCACCGGTACTTGTGCGCATAGTTGCGCAGCCTCCCAGGCTCGCTCGCAGCGTCGCCTGGCTGCCTGCTCTTCCCACCCATGCCCCCTCGACCCTGCACCGAGGCGATTGAATTTGCCTGGAACATAGCGTTTGGTGTCCACCGAGGGCATCTGACCACTCAGTTACCTAGTCTTGGCTGTGTTTATTCGTCCTAGGGAGCACGGCGCGCTGATGCATGTGCATAGCGATGCGTCCGTTGTCTCCCGAAGTATGGTACATGCACCCCTCATTCACTTATTCGCGCTGCGACGACTCCGTTACCACGACACGCTTCTGATGATGTTTCTTACCGTGTTTGCGAATAGCTGAAGGTTACGACGATACGAAGTTCACGGTTGTACGATTAGTGTCCTTGACGAGAATATGATGCCCTTTCATGTCACAGTACTGCCAGAAAGTGGACGAGCACTGGACTTGTTTACGTGAAGTATGTACGAGTACATCTGAGTCCTGGCATGCAGGCTATATGATTAGTCGAGTACTCTGCATCATGAAGCAGACTACCGTGTGCGACATAGTCATGCAATAACGGAGCCGCACGAAGGCATGGCCCTGTTTACAGAGATTTCCGTGCTGAGAAAACCATATACAGAGCTGATATCTGTCGCGGCCGTGGCGAACGCCGGAATCGTGAGCGAGGGCGACGTGTCATCGACTGGATGCGATTGCGCGGCGGCATGAAGGTCGAGGATGAAGCGCAACATCATGATCGAGGTGAGCCTGGGTGTGAGCAACGCGGTACAGAGGTGGGTCAGCATTTTCCGGGGTGCAAGGACTGACGTACACCGCTATCCAGGTCGAGATTGCCTCGATGCGCTGAGCGGACGGTCAGCCTCGAGAGTAGGACCCGACGCCGCAGAGAGTAGAACGGGCACTGACCTCAAATGCACGGCTCAGGCCTAGGGCGACGAGGTTAATGATCAGCAGAACCCTGCGTAGGCGCGTTTCAAGTGAGCGTGTCGAGCACTCTATGAGCGATTGCATATGGCGGTGACGACGTACATGAAGTAGAAAGTCCCTAGATTGTTGGATCTGGTCAAGTCGAGTTATGTCATGTCACTCGCTATACGAACAGCTGGGCACCGTCTCGCATGAGGACCGTGGTGACCTTCGACGCGAAGGTTACTGGAGCCTCTCTAATGAAGGTCCATGTCTTGACCGACGTGATGGCGAGGACGAGCGCATCTGCGACAACCGATGCGGTTCGCGCGACAATCATCCCTAGCGAGGATGATGAGACGAATGCCTGTTAGTTCAGACCAGTTTCAAGGGATACGCACGACTGCCGCGCCGAGAGCGTCAGCTGAATATGTGGACTAGAGCTCACTTCTCGAATGTTGTAGCGGTAACATCCGTGTAGAAGCCGCATATTCTCACAGGGTACGATATCAGAGCCGTGTCAGAATGGACAAACGTGACCTGCAGGTGGTCAGATAAATAGCGAGAGTAGCTTGCAGCGGCGTACCAGAGAGATTGTGGGATTGACAAGCCCTAGAAGCATCACGAGAGCGAGCATCCAGTTTACGGCCGCATAGCGCGTGCGCACTCAGTGCCGAGAAAGCTGAATCCGTTATGAGCCAATCAACTTTTCGGAAAGGGAACGTAGGAGGCAGACCTGCGGCTGAAGTCAGCAGCACGACATTGAACGGTGCCATCTGTGTGCGAACCATACCCGTGCAGCTGCGTACAGTCAGGAAGATGCAACGACATCCGCTACCTAAACGGAGCAAACTCACCCCTGTGCTCCCATGTCAGTCTATACCCTGTGAGCAATGGCCGAGGAGGGAATGCTCACGTACCACGTCGGTCATGCCTTTCCACTGCGTCTGGTCTAGGATGATGAAAGCAGTACTTATGAGAGCGGGATAGCGGACGGCAACGAAAAGCAGCGATGGGATCGAGAGACGCAGGGGCCATATTTGCTAGATCTCTTGTGCGAACGTCAGGCAGTAGTCGTAACAGAAGAAAGCTGCAGATAGACGAGCCGGCCTCTCAGTAGATACAAAATCCAGGAATCAGCGGCGTGAACTCGCCAGCCTTTGCTGCGTCACTTAAAAGTGTCGCGAAGTTTCTGATGCATTGGTGAGCCGCTCTGCACAGATTCAAACACGTTACACGGGAAGCGGACGTACATGGAATGGAATCCTTCAACCGTGTCGTCCATGTTCGAGGCCTATAGGTAGGGCGCAGCCCAAGGACTCGGAGGCAAATGGCACTCCTGATGAAAGGCAGTAGAAATTCGAGGGGAGGAAATCTTGTAAGACGCGGAGAGTAACTCGTGTAGTATGGCGATACGCATGGGGGTATTAGACCCTTGTTGTGTGAGCGTGCTCAACTGTGAAATTGTTCCAGATACAGGGACTCCATACGGCGCCGCTCATCATAGGTATTCAGCTCGCGGGCAATCTCGGAGCTCGACGGAGCGACGCGTTGATATGGCATAGATGCATGGTGGACTTCCTCAGCCTGCTGCGTAGGGTTGGAACCTTATACGGAGCGTGATCTTGTGGAAGCTTGTCAGGGAGAGGAGAGAGGGTGATGGCAGAAAAAGACAACCAAAACTAAACGGGCCTGGCCGGGAATTGAACCCGGGACCTCCTCCAAATCGTCCCTCAGGACCCTAAGAAGGAATCATACTACTAGACCACCAGGCCGATAACAACTTATGCACGCGTACATTTATCACCCGCGCGGGATTATTTGAACTTGTCTCTACTCTGATCAGTTCGACAGTAGCACAGACGTCTCTCCTACATGCTATGGCCTGGTCACGAATGCCACCGAGTCAATTAGCCTCCCGCCTCGTGGACCTGAAATCCCGACGTTCTCTCTTCTGGTTGTGCTTATGATGTCTATGCCCTGTTGCAACTCGGACCAATCCTCCTGGGCTCTGATTCTACTTTTCGCTCGTGAGTGTCGCGCTATCCGAATTAATACGGGCGTGCAGGCGCATCAAGGCGGAGGATCTAGGACTGCCTGGACGGAGGAGAAATGGTGATGGTGGTGTCGCGGGCGACCAAGTGGAAGGTATATTCTCATTGATGTTCGCGCTCAGCGTTTCTATCTCATGACCTCCGTCTCCCACCATATGCTCTTATCCTCGCACAATGCAACGTCCGTCTAGCGGGACCCGCCTTTCGGTTGAACGCGTTCAGTTCTCCACGTCAAAATCCTCCGTGTCCCTCCGTACCGCCTGGCGCCATTTCGTACACGCAGAACGCCTCCAGCCCCGCCGCGAGCTTTCGGACATCCTCCGGACCTCCGCCACTGACACCTTCGTCCTCCGTCCCTCTCCCGGAAGCGGAACCACTGCATCTGCCCGGGTCGTCCGTTGGGCACTGGACACAAACAGCGTGCTCGTCGACCGTCTCTGCCAGTTGTCGCTTGCAACTACTTCGTCCTCCGCCGCCGCTCGCACCAACGCAGCCCTCGACGACTTCCTGCACGCGCAACGCCACAAGCCCGTGCGCAACGGCTAAGCGCCGTCTGGGGCCCGAGCTTCGTCGCACATGGAACAACCTGAAGCCGCTGAATGTCCTCCTTACATCGTCCGCGAGGCACACAGCGAAAGAATGGGCCTTGGTATGGGCGCGGATCCCCTAGACAGCGGCAGGATCGGCAGCGGTTCCCGAGGGAGTGGGAGTGTTTCACGGACCTGTGCTCATCCAATGCTGAGGCTTTTGGAAGCTCAGGGCTTGCGGAGGTGGTCGTCGCGTCACAGGCGCGTGTTGAACCCTCGGCTTGGTTATCAGTCTGGTATACATCGTTTCATATCACATAGCTATCAGCTGCCGTGTGACAGAGGAGTCCGATGTCATTCATACGCATCGTTCTGGGTTGCAGCAGCCATTCCGTGAGCGCCCGAGACGGGATCGAAGGCATGAATGGCGAGCGGGTAGACGATTCTGAACAAGGGGTGGGCAAGTAGATGGCCGGAGAGATGATAGAAAAGTAAGCGACATGGGTTTATGAAGGGACCTGAGTCAATGCGAAACTCTCGCACCCCGGCAAGATAAGGTCGTACACTCTCGGAATGGAGCACTCGGCTGACTAGCAGCTCGACAGTCCCATCCGCGACGTCGATACGACGGAATAGGGCGTGCCTGCTTGCTGGGAGCCAGCTGTGACATACTAGAGCGCAGTTGCAGAGGGTCGCCTTGTCCAGTATGTCCACAAAGCTGATGATACGATCTGTTAGCTCTAGGGGGCATGTTTCCGACATGATGCCCTGCGAGTGGCCGTCAATCCACGTTCCCCTTGCAATGTGATGACCTCGCTCACCTGGAGATGTGCAATACTGTTCGATAGTTGGTCGGTGAAACCTGGAGTTGTGGTTCAGAGGACGTCGCAGGGAGAGATCGTAGTGAGAACTCAAGGACACACGTCAGTCAGAGCGGGCCCATCGATCGACCTGCTCGGAGGCGTGCGTCGTAATCACTTCTCACCGGTCCTTGCAAGCACGCTCATCCTCCATCCAGGAGGTCGATTAGACTGTGACAAGCCAACATTTGTCGTAACCCAGCTAGTACTGGAACATCTCACCCAACTCCTCTTCCTCCAGACTCATCCGTACCCGCCCGCTTGACGACATTCTCGGCATATACTGCTGGAGAAACGCAGCCATGCTTGCCTTCGTCTCCTCCACCTCGGTGCCGCGCCCGTCGACGTCGCCTAATATGAACTTGACATACGAGAGCTTTGAAAGGTCCGCGAGCGCGTTATCGAGCTCTGCCCACAGCGGGACGCTCGACGACTCGGCGCTGCGCCGGAAGTGGCACGGGGCCGCCGACGCGCGGAAAACCTGGAACGTGACGATCCTGAGCGTGCGCTGAACGTTGTGGGAAGAGAGCAGGTGGGCGTAGAGCCGAAGGCTGTTGCGTACGACTTCGAGGCAGACCCAGGCCGGTTGCTCGCCGTCTTCGAAGTCGAATGAGAACGTCAATGTTTCCAGGCGTGAGCAGAAATCGAGCGCGAGTGATTCCCAGCTGTCCGGAAGACCTTTATGAAGGACGTTGAGCGGACAAGATGGATATAGTAACACATGTACTCACCGGGAGAGTCGTTGATGGCGTAGAAGATGTCCAGCTCAAGGTCGATAAGATGTGGTCCTGCGTCTTTAGCAAAGTCGAAGAATGCCTCGACATCCTCGCGTGTGAAGCCAGTGAACCTGATAGACTTGAGCGGGCCGTCGAGGGAGCCAGAGATACGAAGAGTGTCGTAGAACGCGATCGCGCATTCGGTCTCCTCAAGAGCACCGAGCACGAGACCATGGATAATCGGCAGACGCGTTGCTCCGCAAGGTGCGTGGAACCTCCAGGGGCCGCCGTCGACACAGAGCACTTGAACTTCTGAGAACAGGGCAAGCACCGCGAAGAAGTGTCCAACGTCCAATCCTTGAGAAGAACAATCGTCGATATACAGGCGTTGAATGGTCCGGCCATCGAGCACTTCAGGTGCAGTCAAGTCGCTGAAAGTCGCCTTATCACCGAAAAACGAAAGCTTGTCCAACGAAAGGGTCGCCAGGGAAGGCAACGAGGACAAGAGAGCTCGCAAAGAGTGTAGCGACAAGCGAACGTGATCCTCAGAGGCGATATCGGCATCCGAGTCGGAATCAGTACCGTCTTCGCTGTCGGTATCTGCGTTCGAGTCCCTGTCTCCATCGCTCATAGAATCCTCAGTGGTGGGAAGGTCTGGTCTCGCCCATGAGTATAGCATAGGACACGATCGAGATGTGTCGCACAAGGCAGAGGAGTCACTGCTTGGAGGATGGGCGTCCGACAGGAAGGAGGAGTACCCCGAATCACAAACCTCGTCAGACGAGGACTCATGCAAACGGGTCGAAGGAGCGTAGGAAGACGAGTCGAAGCTGTTGCTGAGACGGACAGACAGGCCTGTAGAATCCACGGGCAGTCGTGCGTCGACCTCTAGGTTGGTGTTGCCAGAACACCATCGGAAGGACTTATCTCCAAGAATAGTGAGATCGCGCACATACTCGGCTGGGCAGTAGATTGGACTTGTATGACCGGGACCTTCGAGGAAGCGAGCGAAGGCTTGCAATCGAACGTCGGCCTGGGCCGGTACCCGGAGCGTCATAGTGTGGAAGAGGCAGGTCCGACTGACATGGAGCCAGGCGCGACATACGACAGAGCAGTAGGAGAGGGTGCGCTTGTCATGTATGTGTTCGATGATCATGTATTCGACTTCTCTGGGTAGCACTGCGGTCATGCGTGTCGCCACAGTCTGGTTCTTGTAAGGGAGTATCGGTATGAAGTTGGGATAAGACTATCTCGATATGAGACTCACCGAGTCGAAGCTGTCCACAAGTCCACTGGGCAACAACATGCCGTTCTCCTCCATTCCACCAAACGTGCACATGGTCTTGTTGCGATGCCTTGCCCGCGTCCGTGTCGTCCACCAGTGTCGTGCAGCCTGAGGCCGAGTTCCTAGAGTAAGACGAACGGGCCCGTATCTTCGTATGTAGTATGTGATAGGCTGGTGTGTCTCGCATGGAGTGGGAGAGCAGAGATCGTAGATTGGAGGTCGCCTGCAGAGGGGAAGGTGATGGTTTGGGAGGAAAGCGGATCGGTAAGTAAAGTGTTAAGCTCAGTAAGTAAATCATTCGAAGGCTTGTCATTACCAGCATAAGAAAAGTTTGCTTATGGCTGCTTTGTACGGGCCTGGTTCAGAGTTGGACCGTGCCACAGCTCAGTGAGTACTCTCCCGTATGTAGGCAGACGAATTGACGGGTCTATTGACGTACAGAGGACGGAGCTGCATGAGGCACATATGAAAGATGTCATGGAACCCGGACCCTCCGCCCAGAATGAGATTTTGACCTCCGGCCTGCATAACAGCCACGCGGTCACCCAGAAGGGGTCGGTCACCGGTAGACCTTGAAACTTAAAGGTCAGATTGATGAACCGCCTTTACTTGGAGCTGCTTCACGAACAGCATTCGAGATCGCTCGACAAGAATCACACCCGGGGCGATGTCGAGGAGTCAGGCAGGTACAGGGCACGGGTATGCGAAGGACCAGGAAGACCACTGGCAGCGCGTTGAGCAGTATACACATACATTCCAGCTAGAAATACACAGTTGCTCCTGTATTTGGTGGGTGTGCGATTTAGGGAGTATATCGGTAGTCCTCTGCCTGCACGGAGGGGTTAAGTATATCGGACCTGGCAAATAGTTGTGCATGCACGCACCTCATCCGCAAGCACGGACGTGTCCACGGTTGCATCCTTAGCTGGTTCTCCGTATACGCGATCTCTCCGCCTATTCTCTCGACGATAGTAGACCTGGCCGGAACTTGTCAGTCTCGGACATTTCGGGACGGATATGCGAACCCACAGTCAGTACAATCGCTGCGAGCGCCGCTAGGAACTGTAGCGCAGCGGTAACGGCGAACCCTCGACTGCTCGGCGGGATCAGAATGTGAGTTGCATCACCGACGAGAAAAGTCCTCACATGTAGCGCGGACCCTCCGTGGATGGGAACAGGTGTGAGCCGAGAACGCTCCCGCCCTGCCCGAGGGACATATAAAGTGGCGTCCCAGCAGCCTTCTTGCTCTCTGACCCGAAATTATGGGCATCTACAGCATCGTCAGCGGGTGTCGACAATTTGCTCGTGAGGCAATCGAACCTACACCATGATA